AAACAATGAAAGTATGTCTAAATTATAGGATTATGAATGGCCCTTTCTGGACCAGGATGATAGGTGATTAAGACTTGAGCCCTCTAGTCTTGATCTAGTCTATTGTCCTGAGTTGGAAATAACATTCCTGTCTGACCCTGAAGAGCCAGCCTATTGTCAAAAAGTCTGGCAATGTTGACTTCCTTGATACAATCTTGGATCCTGTTCTTGGGACCGAGATAGCTTTTGGGAAAGAATGGCGACAATCCCCCTTTTCCTCTCAGTTAGGGAAATGTCCTTTGTGTTAATTTATTTATTTATTTATTTCACAGTTTTGTATACTGAGCTTCTCAACCTCGTTGAGGGACTCAGCCCGGTTTACAGCCATAAAAACATATTAAAATATCATATATCACAAATTACACATCAACTTTAAAATACACTAAATATAAAACTACAGTGGTCAGTCGTCCTATTAAGATGGATCTATATCCACTTCCACCCAGAGTCCTATGGTGTTGTCTCATTCCTCGAAGGCCTGACTCCACAGCCACGTCTTCACCCGTTTCCTAAATGTTAGGATGGATGGGGCGGTTCTGGCCTCCAGAGGGAGAGAGTTCCAGAGTCGTGGGGCCACCACCGAGAAGGCCCTGTCCCTCGTCCCCACCAGCCGCGCTTGCGAGAGCAGGGCCTCTCCAGATGATCTTAATAATCTTGATGGTTCGTAGGGGAGAATACGTTCGGAGAGGTAAACAGGGCCGGAGTCGTTTAGGGCTTTATAGGTCAACACCAGCACTTTGAATTGTGCTCGGAAGCTAATTGGCAGCCAGTGGAGCTGTCGTAACAGTGGAGTGGTGTGCTCCCTGTACCCAGCCCCCGTTAGTAATCTGGCTGCCGCGCGTTGGACTTGCTGCAGCTTCCGGGCAGTCTTCAAAGGCAACCCCACGTAGAGAGCGTTGCAGTAATCTAAGCGGGATGTAACCAAAGCGTGTACTACCGTGGCCAAGTCAGCCCTCCCAAGGTACGGACGCAGCTGGCGCACAAGTTTTAATTGTGTGAAAGCTCCCCTGACCACCGCTGAGACCTGGGGTTCCAGGCTCAGCGATGAATCCAGGAGAACTCCCAGACTGCGTACCTGAGCTTTTAGGGGGAGTGTGACCCCGTCCAGCACAGGCTGTAACCCCGTACCCTGTTCGGTCTTACGACTGACCAGGAGTACCTCTGTCTTGTCTGGATTTAGTTTCAATCTGTTGTCCCTCATCCAGTCCGAGACAGCGGCCAAGCACCGGTTCATGACCTGAACAGCCTCCTTAGTGGTAGGTGGAAAAGAGTGATAGAGTTGGACATCATCTGCGTACAGATGACATCGTACCCCAAAACTCCGGATGATCTCTCCCAACGGCTTCATGTAAATGTTAAACAACATAGGAGACAGTATTGAGCCCTGCGGGACTCCACAGTGCAATGGCCGAGGAGTCGAGCAGGAGTCCCCTAGTGACACCTTCTGGGAGCGACCCTCGAGAAAGGACCGGAGCCACTGCAAGGCAGTACCCCCAAGACCCATTCCCACGAGGCGTCCCAGAAGGATACCGTGGTCGACGGTATCGAAGGCCGAAGAGAGGTCCAGTAGAACCAACAGGGACACACTCCCCCTGTCCAGTTCCCGGCGCAGATCATCAACTAAGGCGACCAAGGCTGTCTCAGTACCATGTCCCAGCCTAAAGCCAGACTGTGCCGGATCTAGATAATCAGTGTCTAGAATTCCTGGAGTTGCGAGGCCACCACATGTTCCAGGACTTTGCCCAAGTAGGGGAGATTGGAAACTGGCCGAAAGTTGACGAATTGAGTGGGGTCTAGTGATGGTTTTTTCAACAGCGGTTTAATTACAGCTTGTTTTAGGCTGGCTGGAATCTTGCCTTCCCGAAGGGAGGCATTAACCACCACCTTTACCCACTCTGCCAAACCCCCTCTGGCTTCTTTTACCAGCCAGGAAGGGCAGGGGTCTAGGATGCATGTGGTAGGTCTCGCCTCTCCCAGAACCCTGATGACCTCGTCGAGTTGAACAGATTGAAACGAATCCAACAAAACTGGACAAGCAGATGCTTGAGTTACATCCTCAGAGACCGCAGTTAATGTGGTGTCAAAGCCCGCGCGGATCAAAGCGACTTTGTCCACAAAGTACAGAGCAAATGCTTCACAGCGCGTTGTCGAGTCGTCAGGGGACCCACTCGAGGTGGGGTTCAACAACCCTCTGACTACTCGAAACAGTTCTGCCGGACGGTTCCTTGCGGACGCAATATTGGCCGAATAGAAAGCATTTTGCGCGGCCTCTATTGCCGCGCCATACGCCCTTAGATAAAGGCGTAGACGTGTTTGGTTTGGCTCGCTGGGCTCTTTCCTCCACACGCTCTCTAGCCATCTCTTTGTTCGCTTTAGCTCCACCAGCTCCTCGTTGAACCAAGGGGCAGGTTTCGCTCGGCGACTTAAGAGAGGGCGCTCCGGAGCAATCGTGTCTATTGCCCTAGTCAGCTCCCTATTCCAGTGAGCGACCAGGGCATCGACAGAATCACCATCCAAGGCAGCGGAAACATCCCCAAGAGCCATCAGGAATCCTTCTGGATCCATAAGCCTCCTGGGGCGGACCATCTTAATGGGTCCACCACCCCTGCGGAGGTTAGATGTTGCAACAAGTCTAAACCTGATCATACGGTGGTCGGTCCATGGCAAAGGAGAGATTGACAGCTCCTCCACACCGCCACCTTCTTCCCAGCCCTGACAGAAGACCAGGTCAAGTGTGTGTCCAGCACCGTGGGTAGGGCCAGATACTAGTTGGGACAGCCCCATAGTTGCCATGGTGGCCATGAAGTCCTGAGCCGCTCCTGAAAGAGTGGACTCCGCATGTACATTGAAGTCCCCCAGCACAACAAGCCGCTGGGACTCCAATGCCAGGCCTGAGACCAACTCTGCAAGCTCAGGTAGGGCTGTTGAGGTGCAGCGGGGTGGTCGGTACACCAACAACAGCCCTATTCTGTCCCGGTCCCCTAGCCTCAGGTGGACACATTCAAACAAGGTCGACTGTAAGGCTGGGCCTCTGATCAAGGAGATGGAATCTTTATAGACTATTGCAACTCCGCCTCCCCGCCCCCCGGATCTCGGTTGGTGCTGCACAGCATAACCTGGTGGGCAAAGCTGGGTGAGATTCACCCCTCCAGCCTCGTCCAACCAGGTCTCCGTGATGCACGCCAGATCTGCCTTTTCCTCCAGTATCAAATCCTGGATGGTTGATGTTTTCCCATTGACAGATCTGGCATTCAACAGCACCACCTTCAATCCCGGAGGACCGTCTACCTTGGAACCCATGTTTACCAAGTCAGGAGCACATTTTGGAATTTTCCTCAGCGTTTGTTCACGAATTGGCCGAATTAGTTTTTTATCTCTCCCTTTCCCGTATCTCCCCCTCCCCATCATAACTTCTATGGGGGCCCCCCGAGGACTGGAACTCTCCCCCTCCCCACCTCCCCCTTTCTCTACATCATGACACTCTAGTATTGCACTGTTATATAGCATATCATTAACCCGGCCCGATGGCAAACTATCAATTTCATTGTTCTTATAGTTCCACTCCTCTGATTCATAGAACCATCTCCAATTTTCCCCGGCCATTTGACCGTTACTGGAGAAGATTATAAAGTGCGTGATGTAAAGTGCAAATGCAAGCTTAACACGACGGTCCACACATAACATTGCAATTAGCAGTCCACAGGAGTTCCTCCGTTAATTAAAGTGCTAGTCCGTTGTCCGTCGCTGAAACATGAGGAGGAGTAGGATTACCAAGGCCTTCATTTACAGTGCAATAACATTGGCAAGAGTTCAGCAATTAACAGTATTGAGTCCGCAACCAAAAAGGGTAAGGGCAGTGGAGGTGCCAATTGTAAAAACAAAGTAGTTTGGGAGGTACTAGCCACTACTAATGGCCTTCAGACAGCTTGCAGCTGTTGGTAAACTTCCAGTAGTTAAATGAATCAGAACCACCCCAGTCTACAATTACACTACACCCTATTAAATCCACTACCAATTTAAAAACGCAGAGATAATACTGAAAAACAATAAGTGAGTCAGATAGATCTAATTCCCTAGCCGCAGAGGTTTCCTATTGGATGGAGGAAGGACGACTGACCCTTGGCAAGCCGAGGATGTATGGTGTCAGCTGATGGCTGACGGTTGGATACCGCTATTAACAGATATTGACAAAGATTAAGGCGCAGCTTCACAGTTAGGGGTCGCTTCACAAATGGGTATCAATAGACAGCTTCACAGACCAGAAACACAGCTTCACAGATAGAGATCAAGCAGGCTCCTCCGAGCCTAAAGGAGTAGCTCTACACAGTGTGTTCACAAAAAGCAGCTACACAATAGTTCTCCAGGGAGCAACAACATAGGCCAACATCACGAGTAGAGCCTAGAAAGGCACGTTACTCTCGAGAAGAGCCCACTGTCTCGGCCTCCGAAGACGGAGCCTCCCAGCACATATGAGTGCACCAGGTCGTCCGAAGCACCTAAAGGCCACAAAGGCCACAATCACAGAAGTTTCCCATCCTATGCTGCTCCCGCTGCAAAGAACTCTGCCACTGGGCCGCCAAATGTCTTTCGCGGCAAGGCCCGCCTCACCGCTGGGGAAGGGCCCTGGGGAGGTCGCTGGCGAGTATTGGCCGTCCCAACCGCCCGATGAACGACACCAAACAGCAGGGCAGCCGGTCGCCCTCAAGGGCTCCGCCGTCAGGGCAGCACCACACAGGCCCGCAGAAGGCAATCGAAGCGGTCGGCTGGAGGACCCCAGCGAGCCGAGCTCCGCCAACGAGACTTACTCCACTCCTCGCTAACTCCCGCCGGGCCTTCAAGTGTTCTTGCAGGCAGGCTGATAGCAAGGTGCAGCTGGGAGACAGAAGTTCTTAAAGCCTCCTTTCCTGGCTTGCTTTCTCACCAGTGTGGGGGAGATGCAGTTAAGTGATTATCATGTCCATGAGCTCCATATCCCAGGTGGTCTGGTTGAAAAGCCCCTCCGAAGTCTGAGGAAAGGGGCTATTGTCCATGCTGATGGGGTTTTGCCAAGTCCATTGTTAAGAGATGACCGAGGAGGTTTCGCAACACCCAGGCTTTGAGTTGTTGGGCATCATTCATAGAGAGGTCGCCTTGCTTAATATTTTATATAGATGCATGTGTGAAAATGAATATACTGCCAAAAATGTTATTCTTATTTCAAAATTTACCAATCATAAGGAATAAGAAAGGAATAAACCAATGGAACAAGGACATAAGGAAATTTATCTGGCAAAATAAGAAAAATAGAATAAGCTTCAAAAATATAACAGATGAGAAAAATAGAGGGGGACTGGCAATGCCTAACTTAGAAATATATGCAGAAGCAAGTGCGCTAACATGGATACTCGATTGGATTAGACTAGAAAATGAAAAACAACTAAATTTAGAAGGCCACGACCTTAGGAAGGGGTGGCATGCTTACATTTGGTATGGGAAAAGAAAAATAGAAAAAGGTTTTGGAAATCATTTCACTAGGTCGGCGATAATTAAAACGTGGGAGAAATACAAGGAAAGAATCTACAATAAAACCCCGTTATGGGTATCACCTTTAGAAGCTTGTCAAAGGAGAGAGTTGGGTTGGATAAATTGGCCCTGTTATAGAGTTATAACAGAAAAAAAAGATCAGGAGATACATTTAAAACCCCAAGAAGAAGTAAAGAAATTATACCCAAACATAACGTGGCTGCAATACAGACAATTAAAAGAGTCTTTTACGATGGACAAAAAAATTGGCTTCATGAAAGAGGATAATATCTGGGACAAAATTATAAGGGCTAGGAAAAAAACAATATCATTAATATACAAAGTATTATTAGAATGGAACACGGAAGAAGAAAGAATAAAAGAGTGCATGGTGAAATGGGCCGGTAATATAGGGAGACCAATAAATTTGGCAGAATGGGAAACCATATGGAAAAAAAAATTAAAATATACGAAAGCGTACGATCTAAAAGAAAATTGGCTTAAACTATTCTATAGGTGGCATTTAACACCCCAGAAGTTGGGAAAATTTTATAAGAACTTAAACACCAAATGCTGGAAGTGTGGTGAGACAACGGGCACATACTACCACATGTGGTGGAACTGCAAAAAGGCCAAAAGATTTTGGAAAGAAATTCAAGGAAAATTGCAATATATATTGAAGATCAAAATCCCACTCTTACCAGAAATATTCCTACTGGGAATAACAAAAGAGGAAACAGATAAGAATGTAGATAAAGTATTGTTCCTGGCAATAACCGCGGCGAGAATATGCTACGCCAGATACTGGAGAAAGGAAGAGATACCGGAGATTGACGAATGGGAAACGAAGCTTATGGAGGTAAAGAATATGGACAGACTAAGTTATCTAATCCAGAAAAGTAAAGGAATAATAGAAAAAGAAACAGATTGGACAAGAATTGATGAATACTTCAAAGAGAAATGACCCAGAGATTAAAGATGGGAGAAAAGGTATCTCCAAGACCCAAACGAAGAGCTGAACAGAAGAAAAGAAGAAAACAACAAAATAAGAATGAAAGAAAAGGAAAATCTTCTCAAAGGACACCCGGAAGACAGACCGAAGGAAGGGGGAAACCTCGATTTTTGTCTCTACTACTTTTAATGCACTCTCTACACTTTCCTTTTCTGACTTTCTATACCTTCACTTCTACCCACCCCGTACTCCCCTAAGCCTATCACCTAACTACTTTCTTTCCTAACCCGCTTTCCTCTTTATTCCCCCCCCCTACTATCTCTGACCCTTTAGACTACTCTATTCTCTTTTTTTTCTTCTTAACTATTGCTCTTTTTTTAATCATATGTATATGGAAAATGTGAATAAAGATATTTAAAAAAAATATTTTATATAGATATACATATAAATAATAGAGGGTATGGGGCATATACAGAGTTCATCTGGGGAAGGGGGAACATGCAGGGTCGAGGGGAGATTTGTCCTGGCCATCCAGAGTCCATGCAAGATGATACCAAGTCCATATGAGCCCTAATCAGACAGCGTCCATTCATAAAACGAGTTTCAGTCATAAAAATAGCCAAATTGGTCTGGAGCTGGCTTGAGTCACAGGGGTGACACATGAGGGCTTTCCTGGGTCAGCAGGTACCATGGGGCACCATTCCTAGGTGACACGCACAAGAAAGAAGGGGCACACAAACATCGTGGCCATATGGGACCATGGGACTATGGAAAAACCTTAGGTTCCCTCATGGGGGAGGTTGGGTCAGGAGAAATGGATCTGGGGGCATAGGGGTCCCTTCAGCAGAAAGTAATATGGCAGTTAGTCTTAGAATTCATCAAGGAAGAAAATGGTACCGATCTGGAGCAGATAAGATAACCCGCGGATACCGAGACCGTGCGGGTCTCCGTATCTGCGGTTTAAAGGAACACAGTTTCGGGCTCCCGGGATGCTGCAGGGGAGTCCTGGCTGAGCCAGCGGGGCTCTGTGGCTTGGGAGAGGGAAAGTTAATAGTTGGGGCCAAGTTAGAATCAGTAAAGGACACAATGTATCACTTCAGAGAGGAAAAAGTTGGGGGGGAAAGGTAACTTTTATTGGGGGATTGTTACAAAGAGGCTAAGGGAAGTTAGCAGGGAGGGGGAAAGAGAGTTCTTTGTTGAGGCTGTTGCTGGTGCCACTGTCCCGCAGATACTTGAAAATTCATGCTTCCAGGAACTGTGAGACACTCAGCTGCAATCAGATCTATTTGAAGGCAGGGGCCTCAGCGCCCGCTGTCAGTTTGAAGCCACTAGAGTTGTAGTTTTACAAGGTCTTTAGCCTTCTTTATCAAAGAGTGCACATGCCTCACCAAGATACAACTTCCACGATTCTCTAACATTAAGTCTACCATGTAGATGCACCCTTAGGGGTTTGTTGCAATAGGGGTGGTAATGCTTGTATTGATAAAGAGAACAAACAAACTGACAAGCATGTTCTTCTTTCAGATATGGGAAGATAAAGGCATACTGGAAAAAATAATGGAGTCCATGGGGATCCAAAGGTAACCTTGTCTCCATGCCACCTAGCCATCCAAGTGTGGCTTCCATGGAATTTCTTCTGTGATGTTTTAGTAGAGGGAAGCTCGAAGGGGCCGTGGCCCATTGATGAATAGGACCCATGTTTTGCTAGCACTGGTATCTCCAGTTGTAGCACAAGACCCTTGGAAGTAACAGTGCTGAGACTGATGGACCCTACTCTTAATCTGTATAAGCTTCGGTTGTTTATCTTAATCTATACAGTGCTGGATTCCATATCTGTGGGGGATATGATCTACTACTTGCAGTATTTATTTATTTATCGTGTCATCTGCAACCAGAACATTGTATTACATTTCTAACAGAACAAAACAAAAAAACAGATAAAAAACCCACAAATTTTGCAAACTTGGTAGCTGATTAAATGTCCTTTGACCAGTAGCTGGCCACTTGGAGTGCCTCTGGTGTTGCCGCAAGAAGGTCCTCCATTGTGCATGTGGCAGGGCTCAGGGTGCATTGCAGCAGGTGGTCAGTGGTTTGCTCTTCTCCACACTCGCATGTCGTGGATTCCACTTTGTAGCCCCATTTCTGAAGGTTGGCTCAGCATCTCGTGGTGCCAGAGCGCAGTCTGTTCAGCGCCTTCCAAGTCTCCCAGTCTTCTGTGTGCCCAGGGGGGAGTCTCTCATTTGGTATCAGCCATTGATTGAGGTTCTGGGTTTGAGCCTGCCACTTTTGGACTTGTGCTTGCTGAGGTGTTCCAGCGAGTGTCTCTGTAGATCTTAGAAAACTATTTCTTGATTTAAGAAGTGACCAGAAGCGATCAGACCATGATATGAATAAACATAACAGTTTAAATAATGTACCAGTAAGGCCTTCTCGCAGACCACCCTGAGAATTTCAGGGGGGGGGGGGCTGAAGCCTCTCAAGCCCCCCCCCTTCTGCTACATGCCTGATTGAGCCATTGCAGTTAAAAGTGGTATCAGACTGTATTAATTCTATAGTGTAAATACGAATCAAGCCTTGGAAGACAGATGGAAGACTATCCCTGAAGAACAAAATGAAACAAGGGTCAACTGTCCATCCCTGGCCTTGCCTAGACAGCTATGATTTCTCCATTCTTTTTCCTTTCCTGAATTCGCTCCCATATCAGGATGTATCAACACAGACATTCTGGGGATTTCTGGTTTGCTGCGAAAAGATTGGGTGCTAGTTCACTGCAACGAGCTCTATGTGGGTTTGATGTTGAAGATTGCTCACCAGACTGCTCACTAGAGCACACAACTCTTCTATTACGTCAGCTCCACTGGCTGCCAGTCTGCTTTAGCTTACAAAGCCCTAAATGGTTCCAGCCTAGCTTACCTGTCCAAATGTATCTCCATCTATGAACCATCTCAGAGGTTAAGATCATCCAGGGAGACCCTGCTCTTGGTCCCACCCATCTCGCAGATGCTGCAGGTGGGGTTGAGAGGCAGGGCCTTCTCAGTGGTGGCTCCGCAACTATGGAACTCCCTCCTCAACTGAATTAGATCAGCACCATTTTTTCCTAGCCTTCAGAAAAAAAGCAAAAACTTGGCTATGTGACGAAGCCTTTGGCCAATAAGCAATACAAAGAATGATCAGGGATTATGTGCAATTGATATTTGGAATAGCTTTGGACCTTGATTTTTGGATTGCATGATTTAAATATCACATTAATAAGTTATTAACTCTACGTTTTAATGTTTAAATGCTGTTTACATTTTTTATGATCTAATTGATAGTTATATGTTATTGTTGCTTTATGTTAGGTTTCATATATATGTGTGGCATTAAATTCTCCCAGAATCCTGGTTTATTATTCCATGTGAACCCAGTCTGTGAGCTCCCTAGATGCTGTTCCCTTTACTCTAAACTTTCGGAGAACCTTTCTTTTCTTTTCTTTTCTTTTTCCCCCTCTCAGGGTTGGAGAACCATCCGACTGTTCCAGCATTGTTTCATTCCTTTGTTCGCCAGATGCTGACTATATTACAGGAGAGACTATAGCGGTGGCCGGAGGTGCACCGTCCTGTCTCTGATGGGAATTCTGATCCTCCTGTGAACATGGCACATGCTTTCACCCAGCCCTTCTAGCATTTCAGGAACATATAATATGGGGGAGTGTCATGTTGGCTAACAAATCTATATCTAGGTTTGAGGAGTTGCTTATGAGTATGAAATCTGTCTTGTCCTTGAAGCTACCAGAAGCTATGAACGGGAGAAATCCAGGATCTCATTTTGGAGAGATACAAGATGATGATGAAAGCTGTAGGCTGCAAGATCACTTTACACCTAATAGAGAATGTCTAAACCTTCTTTAAAAGTCTCTAGGTCAGTGTTTCTCAAGCTGGGAGTTGTGACCCCTGGAGAGGGGTCACGAGGGGCTTTCAGGGGGGTCTCCAAAAAGCATCAGAAAACCTATATCTGATGATTTTAGGAACCTACTGGCTGTTAAGAATTGTGAAAGTTGAAGTCCAAAACACCCGGAGGGCCCAAGTTTGCCCATGCCTTCTATGCATTTATTTTCTCCTTCCATCCTAGGGTGCATCTACTACACTGTAGAATGAATGCAGTTTGAAACCAGCCTAGGAGTTGTAGTTTTACAAGCTCCTTAGCTTTCTCTGCTCAAGATGGCTAGGTTCCATACCAAACTACAGCTCCCAGGATTCCGTAGCATTGAGCTGTGTCTGTCAAAGTGGTGCCAAATTACATTAGTTCTATAGCAGTGTTTCTCAACCTAGGAGTCGGGACCCCTGGAAGGATCACCAGGGGGCATCAGAGGGGTCGCCAAAGGCCATCAGAAAACATATATCTCGGATGGTCTTAGGAACCCCTTTGGCAGAGAAGGCTGATCTCTCCACCTGTCCTTCTCTTCCTTTTTGGATATGGATGGCGAATCCTCCCACCAAAAGCCCTCCTCTGCTGTGATTGCCCAGCCTCTCAGCCAAGGGGAGGTCTGTTTCTGAGACTCCAAGTGGGGAGGGGAGAGCCAGTGTGCTCCGTACATGGCAGCATGGTGCGCATGTGTGCATGAGGGAAGAGCATGAAAGACTGGAGGGAAGCTCACACCAGTGAGTCCCTTCAAGACATGGGGGTTCTGTGTGGGAAGTTTGACCCAATTCTATCATTGGTGGGGTTCGGAATCTCCCAAATGTCAAGGTCTGTTTTTCTCAAACTCCACCAGTGTTCAGATTTGGTCATATTGAGTATTCATGCCATGTTTTGGTCCAGATCTATCATTGTTTGAGTCCACAGTGTTGTCTGGACATAGGTGAATTACACGTTCAAAACTCAAGGCCAATGCCCACCAAACCCTCCCAGTATTTTCTGTTGGTCGTGGGAGTTCTGTGTGCCAAGTTTGGATCAATTCCATTGTTGCTTCTTTGCGTCCCCCTCGGGGTGAGAAAAGTGGCATAGAAATACTGTAAATAAATGTAAATAAATAAATGCTGGAGCTCAGGATGCTCTTTGATTGTAGGTTAACTATATATCCCAGCGACTACAACTCTTAAATGACAAAATGAATCCCCCCAACCCCACTGGTATTCAAATTTTGGTGTATTGGATATTTGTGCCAATTTTGGTCCAGTGAATGAACATACATCCTGCATATCACATTACAATTCATAATAGTAGCAAAATTACAGTTATGAAGTTGCAATGAAAATAATGTTATGGTTGGGGGTCAGCACTACATGAAGTTTCGCAGCATTAGGAAGGTTGAGAAACACTACTCTAGGTGGTACACCTGTTTGGAATGAGGATGATCTGAAATGGGGTGGGCACTGCATAGGGTCTATTCAGAAGGGCCATATGGACAGCCGGTAGTGCTGAAAAAAATATCAAAAGTGGATACTTTTATAATTTCTTGGCTTTAAAAAAATCAAATATTTTTCTCAAACAGTGCAGATAATAAGCAATTGTTGTAAGGGGTCAGAGGGCTGTAAAAAGAGCCTTGGAGTCATATAGTTCTTCCCTTACCCACCTAGAGCATTCAGAAGTTTATTGGTGCCATTAAGGGCTAATTGGAAAGGAAAAGGAGTTGGATACAGAAGACAGGAATTGGGGAGGGTGTGTATGAGATCACAAAAGTGTTGGGGTTCTGGAGGCTTTTGGGGAGAATGGATGCTCTGCGATACTCAATGAGTAGGAAAAAATTCTGTATCATTTCTCTGTGCCTTTCACTTCTTTTCACCTAAACCAAATAAAGCTGTCTCTTTGAATGAATCTTACGTGTCTCTCTCTTTCTTTGGGGGTCTGGGAAGGAGGAAAGGGAACCCCACTTTCATGATCAATGGGTTCAGGAGCAGTGCCTGACTGGAGAGCACAATTTCTTCTTTGCTAGGCTGCCTTTGCTCACGTCCATCCCTATTGGGGTGGGAGGGGGGGGGGACCCCTTTTGAATGCAGGGACTCCTCCTTTAATAACATGATAAACCCCTCTCTAGCCCGCCCACAGTATATCCCCCCTTCTAATTCTCCATCCCTTCAAGGGACCTTCGGGGGCTTCCTCTGCACACGTTTGCTCGCAAGGCTGCCTCCATCTAGATCTTTTCTCTCCCTTCGCCGCTTTCCCCACCACCACCCCATTGCCTTCTTGCTTTCCACTTGAGCGTGGTTGATTTTTTTCCATTCTTCCCATCTGACAATTTATCTTCCCCCAGGGAAATGGGGGGGAACATAATCATCTCTTTTTCAGCCTCGCATTGCTCCTTCCCATCCTTTTTCCAATAAAGGCCTATTATTTATTTATATCCATATTGCAATATTTAATTATTCCTCCATTTTGCGGGAAGCAGGGAGGGGATGTCCAGAGCCTTCCTCCGTTTTTTCGGCGAGGGTTTTCCCCCACCCACCCACGCAGACCTCTCTCGCCTTGGATTTGCGCCTTCTGTGATATTTTTCCTGCTGATCCATGTTCAATTGAATCGCCACCTGAGGTCTCCCATCTTCTACCATTCCCATTCTTTTTCTGGTTTCTTTCCCCCTTCTTCTTCTTCTTTTTCTCCTTCTTGTTTTGCATTTCATTTCCCAGCTGACATTGTTCAGTCTCTTGGCTCCTGGGTGGCCACTTGATTTTGCATCCTTCCTCCATCCCAACACATATGCATCTAGGTTTCATCCTATTCCCACCTGATTTCTGCATCTGAAATCTACCTCTGTTCATTTGCCTTTGGCTAGGCATCCCTCACCCCACCCCATCCCTTACACTGACACATTTCTGCCTTTCCTCTCCATCCTCCCTCTCTCATGTTTTCGGCAGCTATTTCTTTTTTTCTACCAAAACCCATCGCAAGCCTCCTGCCCTGGGTTGTGTGTTTCCTTCCCAGCACGACCAGTGGGATTCCCAGCTGAGATTTCTCCCCGCTGATGCGCTCGCTGGAGGCTTGGGTGTGTCTGTTATCTTACCCTGCTTTTCTAGAAGCGTGTGCCTCATCTTATTTTTCCTCTGCTGGCTCAAGAACAGAACACATGGTAAGTGGGGGAAATTGTTCTCGGGTGTGCTATGTACTGTCTCTGCATATCTACGGTAGATTGCTTTCTATGTCAGCAGGCAGCTGTCATGCAATACATTGAGACCCATCCTTTGCTTTCCACATCATGTTCAGAGTGCCGTGTTTATCCTCCAAACCTCCTCAAGATGTTATTTTCTATCTTCCTTTTATGTGTGTGTTTGTATTTGCTTAGACATTTTATAGCCGTGGATCGATTGTCATGCATTTTTCAAAAGGAGGATCTGTTTGTCTGTTTGTCTTAGCCTTTTTGTAGACCTCTGTTCTGTGGATGGTATGTGTTTGTGTTTGTATCTGCAGGTTACTAAACGAGTCCATGCAAAAGTGGCTGGCTAATAAGGAGTGCAGAGGTGCGTGTGGCACACCGTTCCCATTTGTGTGTGTGCGCGCACGTTTGCATTGCTGACTTAGCATGCCTTATTGCTTCCTTCTACGTCTTGCATTATGGATTTAGACGCCCCACTTTTTGACCCCTTTCAGGCATGGTTTGAGCACCTGTGTGTCCCTTCTTTCTCTCTCTGTGTGTGTACATGCATCTATTTCTGTGTTGTTTTTTTTCTACAATGATGCCATTCTCCTGTTGGGGATTGTTCTGTGCAGCTTTCTGAACCTTGTTTACAAAATGTTCATATAGTGTAAATGACTGATCTTGTGTGTGTGTGTCCATCCATGGTGTATGCCTGCATTCACTTGCATGTCTCTGCGAGAGGAGCCATTTGTAAGTAGCTGGCCTTTCCTTTCTTGGGTTTCAATACCAAGCCCTCAGCAAAATTATTATATATCAATGCCTGCATTCAGAAAGAAATCTTAAGGTTGTCTGTCTCGTCTCTCTTTCTTAAAAGTTCGGTTGTGGTCTCCTAATCCATGTGTCTCTTGGTGCAGGTTGTCTCCTTCTCCTTTGTACCATGAGGTCTTCTTCAGCAGCCCTGTTGCCTCTCCTCCATCCTTTGAAGGAGCTGCCCAGTTTTTGTGAAAACCCAGCTATCCTCTGAACTGTCCCTGCTCCTGTTGAGCCCATGTGGGCATCAACAGGGGGAAGACCAGAGGCCAGAAGGTTGACTGTTATTATTGATACCTGAAGCCGGACCAATTCAGACCCTCCATTCACTTGTGGCCTGACCCCCACCAAGTCCAGCTGGAAAAGCCAAGCGGAGGACCCTTTGGACGGCAACCAACCAACGACAACATCACTGCCCCTTCCTGAATTGCTGCAACACCGCTGCCTATGACTGCCCAGGCTGATTTGTGTACATAAAACGCCAAGGAGTTGCCCTCGGACCAGTCTGCAATTCAAGACCACCATATGCCTGTAAACCGGAGGCCGCTGGGCCTTCCTGTGCCCATAACCACGAGGAGTCGTTTACGGCCCTCCTTCTTCTAACCAGCGAAATCAGCTGAGGAACGCTGTCTGGGACTCCAAAAGCAGCCGACCAAATGCTTACCTCTAGGAACGCTGTACTCTGATCACAAGGGACCTCTAGGAACGCTAGAATGTTTGGTGCTGGCTGGAGAAATCCAAGCTTTCTTCTTGGTTTGGAGCCCTCCAAAGACTGCTGCCAAAGAACAACCTGAAATGCCGTTAGCTTCACCACACACCTGTACAGTCAAAGGAAGTTCAGGCCTTTCTGGATAACCTAGAGCCAGCTAGCTCCTGGGGGACTGCGAGTTACCAGATAGAGAGAGTTAAGCTGGTCCTAACAGACTTGCAATTTCTGGGCACACCTATGACTGGAGATCTCTTGGAGTGTCAGTATTATGCAAGTAGCCAGAAAACCCCAACAATTATATTCTGAATTGTTCTTGTGGGCAGGCTCCTCAAAGCTGGTGCTTTCCTGCAATTACCCTAACACAAGCAATCAGTCACAGATAATCAGAGGTGTCCATTGACTTCAAAATCTGTAGTGAGCAATGTAAATGTCGGTATAGCTCTATTGCATATCCATAGACACCAGGTGTTGGCCCTGCCCAGTGTTTTTAAGTTTCCTTCAGTTTTGGCGAACAGAGACGCTTGGTATAGCTGGACTGTTTCTTTGCAGGTCCTCGCATGCAGTAACCAAAAAAATCCCAGTCTTGGTCAAGCTATAGCTATAGTCTTAGAACTTTGGGTGGAGGCCTCAAGCTCAAGGAAAGAGGATAGTTGCCAGATGTCTGACTCTGAGGAAGGGGGCTGAAATTTGCCCATTTGGGGGGCAGCGCCATGTAAAGGCGCCCCGCGTTGGGGGAACGGAGATGCATGCCGGGACTTGTGGGTAACTGTCACCCGACTGGCCGGGGAGCAAACGTTTCATGAATGTCCAACGGAGGCAGGTTCGAGTTTGACGATGGCGGCTGCTATGTGGGTGACTGGGAGGAGGGCCGGGCACATGGCTACGGCGTCTGCACCGGCCCCGGAGCCCAGGGGGAGTACAGCGGGCGATGGAGTCGGGGCTTTGAGTCCCTGGGCGTCTACACCTGGCCCAGCGGGAACACCTACCAAGGCCACTGGAGTCAAGGCAAGCGCAGTGGACTGGGCGTGGAGCGCAAGAGCAAGTGGAGCTACAAGGGGGAGTGGAGCCATGGGCTGAAGGGGCGCTCGGGGGTTTGGGAGAGCCATTCTGGAGTCATCTATGAAGGCATGTGGCGTGAAGGACTACAGGATGGATACGGCATGGAGACTTATGCAGATGGAGGTGAGTAGACCAGACATGAAGGGACATCACTAATCTTGCCATTTGGCACTTTTCATATTTCCAGGTGTTCTGATAAGTCCTGTTTTCCACCTCCATCCAACTGGTTAAGCAACACATCTTTCAGTTTCTCAGTACAGTATGTTGCTTGCATGGCTCATTGTCTGCTTCTCAACATTCCCACGTATCTCCACCACCTTTCCACCCATCTGTATGTCTTCCATGTGTCCATTCAGTGTTGAGAAATGTTAATTCTCAACCTTCAGTGTTGAGAAACGGTAACTCTCAACCTTCTGTGACTTTTGTTCTCAGAAGTCATAGCGAACATGGCCAACAGTCAAGAATTCTGGGAATGATAGTCACAAACATCTAGAGGACTAAAGTTTGAGAATGAATGGCAAAGTAAATATTGGGCTGGGCTTTATCTAGGCTAGAAGTCTCCAGAGTGCAACATCCAGAAGCCCTCGCCAATGGTAACGTTGGTTTGGGAAAATGTAATCCAACAAAATTGGAAGGCCGCACTTTTCCATCCATGAACTTAAGATGTGTTTGTTGAAATGCCTGGTAGGTTTTAAACATCTTACTTATTTTTTCTCAGGAAAACTTATAGTTTTAACGGAGAATTAAATAAGCTAACTCCTTAAGCTCCTTAGATTTCTAAGGAGCATTCAGTTGAAAGCGTTCAGTTGAAAACAAATTCCGTTTATCTACCCAGTTTTGTCTGATCAGCTCTTTCTAGTTTTCTCCAACAATGGCACTGTCTTCCTTCTTTTAATGGTGGGTCCCATTTTGGGAGAAAGGTGGGCGAAAATATGAAATTTTAAATAACCTAAAGTGTGGGTCCTACATGAAGCTCTATTTGTGCATTGTTGTGCCGAATCTATGACTCCCTTTTAATGCACCTAAAACAGGTGGGGAAAGTTCAGGCTGCGTGCACTCCAACTCCATTTTGTGACTTTTTAAACAGTTCCTGACAGCTTCTCCTCAATTTATATTTTGTTTCCAGGCTGATTTAGGGACAGGTATTTGCCCTCAGATTCAAATACAAGCATGCTGCTGGTCCTACCCCTTCTTAAGACCTTTCTTCAACCAAAATTCAATCCCAAAGGAAGTTCGGTGTTCAGAAGCTCTTTGTCCCTGAAAGGCCTGAAACAACATTTTTGGGGACTTGCTATCTGTCTTTTTTTTGGTCATCCTTCTTTTGGTTAAAGTCCACTTTTCTCCCATATCCACCCCCATTTCTCTTGGTTAACCGCTGCTGTTTGCTTCTCTGCTTTGCAGGTACCTACCAGGGCCAGTGGCAGTCCGGTAAGCGGCACGGGTATGGAGTCCGCCAAAGTGTCCCTTACCGGCAAGCTGCCCTGGTCCGCTCCCCACGCCGGACCTCTCTGGAATCGCTGCCCAGTGAGATTGACCCCAATGCTCCTTCTTTGCCCCTTCCTCCTCCCCCAATGGCCCCACCACCACTCCCTGGGGACAGCCCGGCCTCTGGATCTAGGGGTGGCTTTGTTTTGGCCTTCCCGGGCGACCCAGACTTCCCCAAGGGTGCCAAGAAGAAAGCGGGGGGCTTCTTCCGGCGATCTTTGCTCCTGAGTGGGCTACGGGTCCGGAGGGCTGAATCGAAGGCCTCTTTGGGCAGCAAGCGGGGGTCCCTCAAGAGTGAGGCAGGGGTCAGCTCGGCCGGGAGCGAAGCCACGACACTCAGCTATGCTGAGACAGAGCCTCCTGAGTTGCCTTCAACGCTGACCATCGAAGGGTCATCCACCGAGGTCTATGCCGGAGAGTGGAGAGCTGACCGCCGCAGCGGCTATGGGGTGAGCCGCCGTTCCAATGGCCTGAGATACGAGGGCGAGTGGCTGGGCAATCGGCGGCACGGCTATGGACGGACCACCTACCCCGATGGCACCAAGGAAGAGGGGAAGTACAAGCTCAACCGGTTGGTGAGCGGGAAGGTGAAGAACTTGATCCCCCTTCGCCGGAGCAAGGTCAAGGAGAAAGTGGACCGGGCCGTGGAAGTGGCCAGGAGAGCGGTCAGCATGGCGCGGCAGAAGCAGGAGCTGGCCATTACCAGGTGAGCAATGTGGGGCATTGGCAGGACAGAGCAAACATTGCTAGGGATATACAGTGGACTCTCAGTTAACTGGCACCCATGGGAATTGGTAGATGCTGGGTAGTTATTAAAAATGAATTCTATACTCCATACCAGGCCTGGGCAAACTTTGGACCTCCAGGTGTTTGGGACTCCAACTCCCACAATTCCTAACTGCATTAATTCAAACTGCATTAATTCTATAGTGCAGATGCACCCAAGATAGGAGGTGAAAGACTTTGGAACAGGTCTGGGAAAACTTGGACTCTCCAGGTGTTTTGGACTTCAACTCCCACAATTCCTAACAGCCGGTAGGCTGTTAGGAATTGTGGGAGTTGGAGTCCAAAACACCTGAAGGGCCCAATTTTTCCCATGCCTGCTCCATACTATACCATACCACAAATTCTGTATTGATCTGATATTAATATTGACAATCAGGAATTAAAAGCAAATAAATGCAAATAACTTAACTCAGTTTTATAGTTTTCCTGTATTATATAAAAAGGGTTTTTTTTAGAAAGTTAAAGTATTACTCTATTTTTTTGCTGGTTGCTTGCATTACAGTTAACTGAGAATCTATTGCAGAGGTGTCATACTTGTGACCCTCCAGATGTTCGGGCCTCCAGCTCCCAGAAACCCCAGCTAGCTTATCCAATGGCCAGGAATTCTAGAATCTGAAGTCCAAAACACTTGCAGGACCACAAATTTGATGCCAATGGTTTATTGTGTATGTATAAAGGGATTATTTGCATAGTTTTGCAGGAAATGGAACAGAGGGTTGAGATATGGAAATTACCAAGACAGCAATCACCCCAGGAAAATTATTCCTGGGTCTACTTTGCTGTGAGTTTTTTGGGCTGTATGATTGTGCTCCAGAAGTATTATTTCCTGACATTTTGCCCACATCTGTGGCATCCTCAGAGGTTGTGAGGTCTGTTGGAAACGAGGCAAGTGGAGTTTATCTATCTGTGGAATGTTCAGGTTGGGAGAAGGAACTCTTGTCTGTTTGAGGCAAGTGTGAATGTTGCAATTGGCCAGCTTGATTAGCATTGAATGGTCTTGCAGCTTCAAAGTCTAGCTGCTTCCTGCCTGGGGGAATCCTTTGTTGGATGTGGGCAAAACGCCAGGAATGCTCCTAGAACATGGCCATACAGCCCGGAAAACTCACAGCAACCCAGTGATTCCGGCCATGAAAGCCTTCGACAACACATTCCTCGGTCTCTCTGTCACAATCCGGTTACAAAACTCTAAATAAATGCTTAATAAATAACGAATGCTTCCAAGTATTGCAAATCTTTAGAAAATATACGCAATGATAGTGTGGTACATGCCATGCTAGGCATATACAAAATCCATCACTATAGTGCAGCCAGGAGCAAACTTTGGTCCACTAGGTGTTTTGGATTTCAACCCCCACAATTCCTAACAGCTGGGTAGGCTGTTAGGAATTGTGGGAGTTGAAGTCCAAAACACCTGGAAGACCCAAGTTTGCCCATACCTTCTATAATGGCTTAGAAAAGAGATGAGAGTACATTAGAGCATATTAATATATGCAAAAACATGACAACGTTACTATCTGTCTATTCCAGGCATGGGCAAACTTTAGTCATCCCTCCAAGTGCTTTGGACTTCAACTCCCACAATTCCTGGAATTGTGGGAGTTGAAGTCCAAAACATCTGGAGGGCCCAAGTTTGCCCATACCTTCTATAATGGCTCAAAAAAGAGATGAGAGTACATTAGAGCATATTAATATATGCAAGAGCATGAAAACGTTACTATGTTTGTGGCCTAGTGTTGATACCCAATTTAAGGCTGAAAAACAGATGCATTTGTATATTGAGAAATAGAAGAAGGTTGTTTAGGACCATGCTTGTACATATATCAAATAACAACCACTCTGTTGGAGTTCAGCCTGTGATAGTGTTTCAGGATCAGGGTGCTTTGGATGTGGGAAGTGATGCCAATGAATTTGAAGGTGGCAATGGTTTGATCAATGATACTGATGCAGAGAAGGACCAGGAGACCCCTGTGCAAAGTGTAGTTTCCCATGGAAATGTCTATGAAGGGTGTGGGGATGATGGTGTACTCTCTGAATTGCTACAGAGAGTTCCCAGGATTTGGGGCTTGAAAACAGCTGGGCACCTGGCCAAGCTGCAAAATAGATAGGAGCAAATAGATAGGAGGCAGGAGATTAGTCAAAACAGGCAGACCGAACAGTGGCTTCGGTGGTCTGCCAGGATCCAACAGATAAAGATAAGGGAATCTCAATTAAAGCAAAACCAATTTTTGAGTGCTTGGAATAGTTTAACGAGGGGATAAAAGTTCCAAGTGTGGGAAATATAGTCAGATGAAGCATCGTTTGGAATCAAGTGTAGTTCTCGTCCTTGTTCATGGAACCCTTGCTTGGAAGATTCTTGTCTAAGTATTTCTTGTTTCATGGTTTGGATGCTTGGATTGTATGAATGCATACTCATGCCTTGGATTAATGTTTCCTGGTTTTCTGAATTATATTAGAGAAATGTGGACTTTGTTTTTATGGACTTTGCTGACCTTTACCGAGGACTATTTTTGCTCCTGCTTACCTTCTTCCCTAATTGGACTTACCTATTTCTTTTAAGTGCTTTTTACTTGCTGCTTTTTATTTATCTCCAATAAAAGGATTGTTTTTCAATCAGCAGTGTAGTGTTTACAGTCAAAGGGCTTTTCCTGTCCTGGAGTGCAACACACTCTTTGTGTGTGTTTGAAGTAGGCTTGCTATAAATTGTTTAGGATTTGAGGTTAATATTAGACTAGACTAATATTAGACTAGAGAAGACAATTATGCTGGGGAAAGTGGAAGATAAAAGGAAGAGGGGTCGACCAAGGGCAAGATGGATGGATGGCATCCTTGAAGTGACTGGACTGACCTTGAAGGAGCTGGGGGTGGTGACGGCTGACAGGGAGCTCTGGCGTGGGCTGGTCCATGAGATCACAAAGAGTCGGAGATGACTGAACGAATGAACAACAACAACATTAGACTAGACTAATTTCTAGACTAATTTCAGGGCCTTGTGTTCAACAAGAACGAGGCCTAGATGCTGCCACATTTGTGTTGGAGTTCAGCCTGTGTTTGTGTTTCAGGATCGAGGTGCTTCTGATGTGGGGAATGATGTCACTGAGGGTCAAGATGGAGATGGTTTGGTCAATGATCTTAATGCAGAGAATGACATAGAGACACCAGTTCAAAGTGTAGTTTCCCATGAGCTTGTTCCTACAGGGTATAGGAATGATAGTTTACTCCCTGACCCAGAGAGTTCCCAAGATTTGGGGTTTGAAAACAACTTGACACCTGGAGAAAATAATGAGCAGATAGATAATAAGCACATAGATAGACATCTGCAATTTAATCAAAACAGACAGCTCAGCCAAGGCCTTCGCTGTTCTACTAGGCTTTGAGAGATAAGGACGAGAGGCAGTCAAGGAAAACAAAACCAGTTTCTGGGTGTTGGGATATAAAGTTCTCACCAGGGAAAAAATAGTCAGATGAAGCATCGGTTCAGAATCCTGCTAAGTCCTAGTTTTTATTCTATGGAAGATTCATGTTAAGGATTTCTTGTTCATGGGCTGACTCTTTGTCTCTTGGGATTATATACTCATGCTGTGGGTTAATATTTCCGGGTTCTTTGGATTTCATTACAAAAGTCTAAACTTTGCTCTTGAACTTTGCTGAACCTTGCCTTGGAATACTTTGTTCCTGCTTATCTTCCTACCTTATTGGACTTATCTATTTTCTTAAAGCATATTTTACCTTGCTGTTTTTACTTATCTATATAAATAAAAATGTAATGTCTGTTTGTGATATTCACAGAACTCAAAAACCACTGGGGGAATTGACACCAAATTTGGACACGATACACCTAACAACCCAATGTATGTCTTTCACTCAAAAAATTGATTTTGTCATTTGGGAGTTGTAGTTGCTGGGATTTATGGTTCACCTACAATCAAAGAGCATTCTGAACCCCACCAAAGATGGAATTAAACCAAACTTGGCACACACTTCTCCCATGACCAACAGAAAATCCTGAAAGGGTTTGGTGGGCAGTGTTCTTTGGTTTTGGAATTGTAGTTCACCTACATCCAGAGATCACTGTGGACTCAAATAATGATGGATCTGGACCAAACTCTACACGAATAGTCAATATGCCCAAATGTGAACATTGGTGGAGTTTGGGGAAAATATAATCTTGACATTTGAGAGTTGTAGTTGCTGGGATTTATAGTTCACCTACAATCAAAGAGCCTTCTGAACTCCATCAATGATGGAATTGAATCAAACACGGCACACAGAATTCCCTGTTCAACATTTTATTAATGACTTAGATGAAGGGTTAGAAGGCAGGATCATCAAGTTTGCAGATGACACCAAATTGGGAGGGATAGCCAACACTCCAGAGGACAGGAGCAGGATTCAAAACGATCTTGACAGATTAGAGAGATGGGCCAAAACTAACAAAATGAAGTTCAACAGTGACAAATGCAAGATACTCCACTTTGGCAGGAAAAACGAAATGCAAAGATATAGAATGGGGAATGCCTGGCTCGAGAGCAGTACGTGTGAAAAAGATCTTGGAGTCCTCGTGGACAACGAGTTAAACATGAGCCAGGAATGTGATGTGGTGGCAAAAAAAGCCAATGGGATTTTGGCCTGCATCAATAGGAGCATAGTGTCTAGATCTAGGGAAGTCATGCTCCCCATGCTCTATTCCGCTTTGGTTAGACCACACCTGGAATATTGTGTCCAATTCTGGGCACCACAATTCAAGAGAGATATTGGCAAGCTGGAATGTGTCCAGAGGAGGGCGACTAAAATGATCAAGGGTCTGGAGAACAAGCCCTATGAGGAGCGGCTTAAGGAGCTGGGCATGTTTAGCCTGAAGAAGAGAAGGATGAAGGAGATATGATAGCCATGTATAAATATGTGAGAGGAAGCCACAGGGAG